TTGAGATAAGTTTCTTGACAAAGGAGTGTATTGTGATCCCAATGGTAGAAAGTTCTTTTATTAGATCTAGTTTTCTTTTAAGGCGTCTATTAGCACTTGTTAATCCACCATCCATTGCTTTAAGTTGGGCCATTAAAAATATGTCTTGCTTAGATTTAGAAAGAGCTTGAAAAGATTCCCTTAATTCTGCAAATGGTTCTTTGGGAATTCTTGAAGAACAGCCACAATTACAACCTTTTTCTAAAAAGCTAATTGCTTTTTGATATTCATTAGAACCATTATACTTATTACTTTTCATATACACTTATCCCTATACATATAATTTTATAATTTTATGTTCACTTTGTATGTTTTTCTAGGATTGTTTAATAATTTAGCATTAAAAATGGATGGAAAGTCTGTGTTCAGTTTGTTATGAAAAACCTTGACAATCTTGACCAAAGAAATACAAATAAGGAAAATTGTTTGCATAAAAAACTACGAACCTTTCTTATATATATGTATATTATCTTTAGTTTTACAAATATGTGAAAGGAAAAAACGATAATATTTGTTTTATGACGATCTTATTTATATGTGTGTTGTGATACATGACTCAGCTGCAATAATTAAAAAAAAATTTATTTTTCTGTTACACTAAAACAGATAACAAATAAATAAACGAAAATTGAATTTCTTTTTATCAAAATGATGCTTTTAGGAAAATTTGACATAATAATAAAGTGCGCAAATAAAGTGCACAAATCAGTTTAAGTCTTGCAAAAAATTATGTGTGCAAAGTTTCATGTTTCCTAAAAAAATTTTTGCTGCAGTATAATATCATTTTAAATTTAATAAAATTCTAAAATTTAAAATTTTAATTAATTAAATAAATTATTTAAAAAAAGAAATAAAGAAACTTTATTAAATATATAAAAATATGGTTGATTTATCACAAAATCTTTAATTAAAAATCTTTAAAACATTTAAAATATTATTTATTTCAAATAAAATCTTCTTTTTTAAAAATGCCATTTAAATTGACTACTATTTGTGTGATAATCATTAACACTAAGAAACAAACAATTTCAGAATCATTGAAATTAATGCCATTACAAAGGTGAAATAAAATAATAATTTTTTAAATATATAGATAAAAAAAACATGACTTAGCTTATTTAATCCTTTCCTTGTATGTGAATGCCTAATATTCATGATGGTCATGGTTATTATTCAATATGTTTGATATTATAATTGACATAACAAGCAATTACATCACCCAGGTAGTAACAATACCAAGACCATGCATAAACAAAGCTTTTAATAATGCATATCTACCCAGATCTCTGAGATTCACAAGAATAAATTATTTTTCTTTATGAATAATAAATCTGATGTTGATCACAGGTGTCAGATTTAATTAAAAATTTCCTATCACAAACAAGTCAACAGGTGCTTTCACACCTCCTCATAACCATGGAATTTTTTCCCACAGGCAAGGTGAAAACATGTTGGAAGGCTTTGGACAAAACATTTCCCTTATCTTCCTCTCAGACCAGTCTTGGCTGTTATCATATGAGCATTGATCACTGATAGTTGGTGCTTGTGTGGTGATTGCTGTGTGTTATTGCCACACTAGCATAAAAGTTGGAGTCTGCAACTCTCCAACTCTGGAGATTACAACCTGGATTGCTGTTTTGGATTTTCCCTGGGTTCAGAGTTTTGAGTCTTGGGTTGCTGTAATTTTTATGAAAAAAAAGTATTAATATTTAACAATTAATTATTTAAATGTTTATTTTGTTGAAAAAAATATACATTGATAGTGTACATTTTCTGTGCTTAACATGCATGTGACCCTAAGTCTGGACAAAAGATCCCTTTCTATGAGTTTGGCTGGTATATCTCAAAGGCATCCCCTGTCTTGTCAGTGGCATGCCTACTCACCAACAACCCTACCCTGATTTACTAAAATAACAAATTCAGTTGGTCAAACAAAAATTAAAGAAACAGAAAATTTGGGAAAATGATTATACAAAACATACCAAACAAAATCCGAACCATTTTATTTTACAGCTTTCCTCTTAACATCAGAGTCCAGCAGCCTTCTCTGGTCTGGGAAGATTAGTGAAAGTGTCATTGACGATTGATGCAATCTTGGTAAACTCCAGAGCCATACGCCCCCTCCCCAGGAATTCAGTTGCATCATTGTATCATCAGGGGATGAGGTCAGATTAGCCTTATGTACATGATACAAGGAAGATGAGAGAATGACTGTAAAGTGTTAAGGTAGCATGTGTGCCTCAGCACTTGTCTAATTTCCGATAATCAAACGTTAATATCAAACATCACATATCGAATTGTTCCACTTCCTTGTATCGCCTTGACATTTTCTTGTAATTATAATAATATTAATAATAGTATTATTATTAATGATTACAATAAGTAAAATATTGTCAATGAAAATCTTGTAATTACCCAGCAATGATCTGTTGCGCGTTTTGATTCCAATTAAAATGTTTATAAAATAAAAGATACCACATTATATCAATACAAATAAAAAAAGTACATCTGGTTAGTTATTAACACGTTTCTTTAAGAGTCCCAAACCAGACCAAACAACAACACTCACGTTTTGTCACCTTGGACTCTGTCAAAAATAAAATTGTTTTTTCCAAAAAAAAAAAAAAAAAAAAATCAAATCGCGTCTGTCCTACCAAAAAAAAAACCAATAGGATAAATAATTAATGTGTACACGTCGATCAAAACAAACTTGTAAAAAAAAAAATATGTTTAAAAAAAACTCTAATAAAAGAAGTCGCGAAGACCAAAGAAGAGAAGAAAACGAGTAAGTATTGTTTATCGTAAAAATGGTGGTGGTGGTTATCGCCTGCCACTCGTCACTCTAGTTGATTTAATTAATTTATGTTGTATTATTTCTTATTAGTGAAATTAAAAAAATATCCAAACGATCCAAAAGTATGTCAAAGAAACTTTTTTTTTTTTTTTTCTGAAATACTTTAAGCATTTCAAATAACAAAAAATCTAAATGCACATTACAACCCTTTATCAGGTCCAAAAGTCAATGATTTTAATTTCATGGAAAAAACAAGCCAATTGAAAATTATCGTAAAAATTATTGAAGAGTTGTGATCCTGGTATACATAAATATATAAATGATTTTAGTGACTTTTTTACAAGCAATGACAATAATAATAAGTTTGAAGATTTGTGTGAGAAGATTAAAATGCTAGAAAAAGAAGTAATCCAAATGAATAAGCGCATACTATGTTTTAAATCAAAATTACGTGTTGAAATGGATATCAATGAGGAACTGGCAAAAGAAAATGATGAACTAGCAAAAGAAAATTATGAATTGAAAAAGCAACTATTAAGTTGTAAAATATGCTTGAGCGAGGAAATATCCCATTGTTTTTTGCCGTGTCATCATTTGGTCTCGTGTGAAGAATGCGCTTGTAAGGTTAAAAATTGTGTAATATGTCATGCAGGGATCGTTTCATGTATCAAAATTTATTTTTAATTTATATAGTAATAGGTAGTCTCTTCATTAATTAGTTGTCGAAATTAGAAGAAAAATAAGATGATTATTAATTAGGTTTAATTAATATTTGTTAAAAAAAAATAATTATATAAATAAAGTCAATATTGATTATTGTCTATAATTGTGAAAAAGGAAGGTCAATGATTTTAATTGTTATGATTTAAGCATAAAAACAATCAACAAAATTATAGTCATCACAACACTACCATCTTAATTAAATCATGGTCATCATGATGCAGGAAACCAATTCCAGGACACCGTATAATTAAAATAACTGGTATGCAAGACAGTTAGTAAATCTACCTCGTTAAGATTTTAAAATTTACCCCATTTTTACACTGTAGTATATTTAAAGCTATCAATTTGCCCATTTTTTTATATGCCAGTTAATCAAATTTTCATTTATAACCAAATAAAAGGCATTCTTATTTAAATTTAACTAATACATTGATTTTAATGGCCCAGTTAAAAGCAATGGATGGTGGGTCAATAAGCACCAGCAGACACCTTAAGAAGAAAACTAGATCTAATAAAAGAACTTTCTACCATTGGGATCACAATACACTCCTTTGTCAAGAAACTTATCTCAATATGTTGGGAATTGGTAGGACTTATTTTGAAAATATTAGAAATCATCTGATAAACAATGGTCTCCTGCCAAGAATTCATGGCAATATTAAAAGGATGCCTCAATGGAAAACTAAGATGGTGATTGATAAAAATGTTGCAGAAGTTGTAAAGAATTTTCTAGAAAATTATGCAGAAGTCCATGGATTACCAAGTCCAGGAAGAAGTATCAATAGAATAACTCAATCAATTGTATTCTTACCAGCTGAAATGAGTTATAAATCAGTCCACAGAGATTTTCTGGCTGGTCTAGAAGAAGATAATAATTTGAAATCCTTAAAATATGATGCCTTCAGAAAATTATGACACCAATTGACACCAGAAATTCAAATTATGAGTCCCAGGACTGACCTATGTGATACTTGTCAACATTTTAGAGATGGTTTACAATATAATGCTCACCAAGAGGAAGAAGCTAAAGATTTACTTAAAAGATTTAAAGAACATCTGTCCAAGTCCAAAGTAGAAAGAAATCATTATAATAAAAATACCAAATTAGCAGAAGAACAAAGGAAATTAGTTAATCAAATTTATTCAAAGGATAAAACACAATATTGCAGGTATTGATGCCACTGCTCATTATAGTTATGATTGAGCCCAAAATGTTCATGTACCACATTCAGATCAACAAGTAAGTAAAATTTATTACCTTAGTCCATGCAAAGTTCATCTATTTGGTATTCAAGATGAAGCAGTAAGGGAACAAATTAATTATGTTCTTAATGAAAATGAAACTATAGGAAAAGGACCAAATGGCACACTTAGTATGATTTTTGATGGAATTAAGAAATTGAACAAAGGTGAAAAGCATTTAAAAATTACTTGTGATAATGCTGGGGGACAAAATAAAAATAATGTAACAATTTGATTTTATTTGTATCTAGTAATTTGTAGTTATTATAAAAGTATTGAATTGAATTTTATGATTCCAGGACATACTAAATTCAAATGTGATGGTAATTTTGGCATGATTAAAAAACTCTATAGAAGAACAAGAATAGATTGTCTGGGCCATGTAGTTGAAGTGATAAAAAGGTCTAGTCCAGCAGGATTAATAAAGCTCAGTGTTATGAAGGTGGAAAAGGTTTTCAATATTTAGATCTTAAGCTATTTTGGGAATTTATTTTAAGAAACTAAATGGTTTACAAAAGTATCAACATTTTCTTTTTGAAACATCTAATTTTGGTACAGTGAAAGTTCAAGAAGTTGCTAATGGACCTTTACTGAATTCAATTTATTGAAAATCAAGAAAGCAGATATTTTTGAAGAGATTAAAGCTTTATCTATTTTAGTGTTAACACCTCCTCCTTTGGACTATAAAAGACAAGAATACCTTTATAATAACATTCTCCCATTTGTAAAGGATGAGTTTAAAGACATCACTTGTCCCAAGCCAGCATAAAATGTAATTGAATAATTTTTGTACTAAATAAAAAAGTATTAGATGGCATAATTAACTCTTATGTTTCTTAATCTTCACTATTTTAATAACCAAAATAACTAGGAGGAACAATAGTATTCCACAACCAACCATTCAGTAAACTTTCTCTCTTTTATTATTATTAAGTTGGTTTTCTAATTCAACTCTAGGAGTTTCATTCCATTTTCTATAATAAGCCTCTGGATCTCTTATTTTTTCAGCCATTCTTTCATCTTCCATAGTACCTAGAAATTGATTGTCTTTTACAGGTCTGTAATGTCTTCAAAATTTTCTTAACTTGAATCTAGGAGCGAAGTATACTGAAAATTCAGATGGGGGATAATTGTCACTATAACTTGAAGGCATTTCTGATTCTTTTATCAAAATTTCTGCAGCTTTTTGGTTAATTTCTCATCTTATTACTGCATCAGTAGTAAAATTTTCAGCAGATGCCATTTTTTGTATAAGTTCTTGACAAACTTCACCAATTTGATCTCAAGTTTCTTGATCTACAGCATTGATATCATTAGGTAAATGATTTTTGGTGAAGACAACTATACCTCCTATTTCATTGTGTAATCTTGCAGATACTTTGCTCTTTTCTGCAACAATATTATCTTCTGTTGGTTGAAAGATTGTATTTGCTTGTTCAGTGCCCTCCTGAGAAAAAGCTTTTCATGATACTCCTTTAATTCCCCTACTTCCATAAGCTTCTTTATATTTAGGAACAATTCGCATATAAAAATGGGGTGGGTTTTGGGAAGCAAGTGGCCCTATTGGTACACTTACTTTATAGCCTATTGGATTATATTCTTTATTGATTTTATTAATTGTATCTTTAAGTACTGGTAAAATATCTGCTCATTCTTCTCTAGTTATTTCTTTGAAGTTTTCTGCATGGCGTTTGGTGCACAGTGCTGCATGACCTTTAGAATTTTGTCTTAAAACTACTCCAGAGGTTATGGTGCCTCCAAAATCAGAGATTCAAGTTTTAAGCATTCCTTTTTTATGTGTTACCATTTTGTCACACATATGACAAACTATTTCACCCTTTGCTGTGCTTTTGGGACAAATGTAACTGGGAGTGTTGTCATCTTTTCAGGAAAAATGCTTATCTTGTTAACCTCTTTTAATATCTTCTTGGCAATTACGACATTGAGAACATTTATGTCCTCTACTATCTTCATAAACAGTAACATCTCAGTCCAACATGATCTTACACTGATTACAACATATGGTAATTCTGTTTCATCTCCCATCCCCTTTTTGGTTAATAACTCTGTACCTAAAAGGTCAATCAAAATTTTCTTTATTTTTAACTTTAGTTAAGGTTTCTCAAAAGATCTTTTTCTTATTGCGTTCTCATTTTGCACATTCATCTAATTCTTTTTGAATTATGTTTTCAGAACAATCTCAACAACAGAATTCTTTATGTTCTCTATCTTCTTCATCCCATCAATTAATTTCTAAACCTTCTTTTATATTGTGACAATTAAAACATTCTTTTTTGCTCATGATTTTTTATTTATATAAACTTTATTATTATAAAAAAGTTTTACAAAAAAAAAAAAAAAATCAGTGTTCAATCATGAAAGAGAACAGTTTGAATCATGGTTGGTGGAACATTAGTATTGGTTTTAGAAATCTAGTTACTCATTGATAAAATGGATAATAAATTTGTTCCTATTATTTTTCTTCTAGAGATCTTGGCTTTTTATTGGGTAATAATGCATCATCATGATGCTTTCTTTTTCCAACATTTATTATTTTTCTTTCTTGATAAATTTCATAGGTAAT